TTCGAATCTCATTGGGAGAGCTGATGAAATGGTGTGGATAGAATGAAACCCAAAACCAATTCGGAAAAGCAAACCTTTTCTGAGTCAAGGTCTATTTATATGTTTGCAGGAAAAGCACCATCGAACCGACAAAGGCTGAATCTAAGTTATTATTCAAGAAATGAGGGTTACCTTATTGAATATTATCATCGAAAATATTGACAAATTGTTTTTTCCTTCATTTCGAGTCATCTCTTTTTAACGCAATTTCGCCGGCCCCCGCAGTAACTAATACTTGCATGCACCTCATCTCGTGTTACTCTGCTCTCCTGACACCCGTGGTTTGTGTAGGAACTTACATCTTTAGCTGCCTTGATCTTTGGAAATTTTGGTTCTTCCTCTCTTTTTAGTTGATGCTCCCCAAGTGCAAGTTCCTCTCATTGGCCATCCTCCAATCAGAGCTCAGTCTGGAGGTATTTAAGGCGGGTTTCTTTAGGGCGAACCGAGTCAACTTCACACCTTCAGCCCTCTTAAGGTCAGACGCAACAGCGTTTATCACCAGTTTGTTTCTCCGCTTGCTGCAAGTATCCTCTATTTTGCCACAATAGAAATAGTATTTATTCCACTATTTGGCGAATCACTTATTCTTACATGTACCCCTGTGACGCTAGTGATCCTCATTCCTATGCCACATTGGCATAAACTGAGTTTTTGCAGTCGACGCAGCAAAGATACATGCAAAACTTTTCCTGTCCACATTGTCGCTCCGCTCTGTCTTGCCTTAAGCGTTATTATGCTTCGGGCGAAAAGATGCTCTGCTGGAATTACCTAATTAGCGTATCGTCTTGTTCGTCATAGCCTAACAACTACTCCCTCCATGAAGAGAGGCAGAGTGCCCTAGCAACCTTCTTTACATTGCCAACAGGGCAGACCTGAAATTGGGCACAAGAATAAGGGCTGAGAAGTTGGGCATAAATTCTGACTGAGATTGTCTATTTTGGCCAGATTTTCTGCATCTATGTATTTTTTTATAGTTTATCCCTTCAGCAACAGGAAATAAAAACGATACTCATTTATTCGCAAACATCAGCCCACTATTTCAGCAGAAATGCAAACTTTGAAAAGGAAAGACAAGTTTCCAAGATGTGTGGGACAAATCGAAAAAGTAGCAGGCATCCTTAGGCCAAGTATGGGCCCCGGCTTCGTGATTCTGGGAGAACATGCGAAATAGGCTTAAGTGTGGTTAGTCTTTTGCACACTGTCTATGGCATATTTATCATGTTTTTGTTATGTTGTCTATCTTATTTGTCACTGTTAGCATTAAATGCTATCTCTGATTGCTCAGAGCTGTCTCGATACCAGCTAAGCAAGTTTTTTAATATTTCGGTTTAAACCAATCAGCAGGTCAACCTTATTTTTTTATATTTCTGAATATGAGTAGAAATTTGAGACCACCAGTAAATCAGTATTATGAGATGTATTCACCCTAGTTCGCTTAAGATGATAAAGGACAATGATACGAGTAGAGCTGATGTTCACATTGAATTTCACATCTCAACTTTACTGGTAGTCTTGGAACTCTACTTATATATGGAAATTGAGTAATGTAGTCGATTTTCATAGCAAAAATACGTTCACTTCATCGACAATCTCACCAAAGGTCTGTCCTTCCTTAAAATTCACATTTGCCCTGTTACCCAATAGCACTGTGGCAATGTGACAGAGTGGTCAGCGTGTCAAGATCACATGCTACACTGTCACGGTTCCTATCCCACTAAGGTGGAAACTGCACTCCACCAGGGATGAGAACAACTTTTGGGAAAGCAAGGCTCTGTGAAATTCAACAGTAACGTCAGCTTTGATCGTATCATTGTGGCAAAATTCTACTACCAGTCCTTCATTGCCTTAAACGAAATAGAGTAAATTCATCTTATTTTTTCTAGTCTGGCCAAGTTAAACTGAATGGAGATGAAGTGAAGCTGGTTTTTGAACAATCTCGTTGTAAATCACTCTAAACTTGACATCCATTAAAAGATCCACTTAGGTCAACGTTAGTGGTTTCACCGAGGTCTCTTGTCATTGGATATTGCTTGGAGTTTCAGTAATCTTTTGTCTGCTCTACTAGTTGGCGTGCATCTCTATTACTATTTTGAGCTAAGTAAGAATTGGGGAATGTAAACGCATAGAAGGGTGTAGCCATTTACATACGTTATCTACCAATAGAGGCAGGAATTTTTGGATGACCACTTTTACTGGATACTCCTGGCTTATATCCCCTTTGCCACATGATACAGCACAAATACTCGTTTGTCCAGAAACATCACTCTAATTAATCGGCAGAAATGCGAACTATTGAAAAGAATTACAGTTTCCAAGTTTCTGCGAGTAAATTGTGCGAAAAGTTTAAGACATCTTCAGGTAAAGTAGATGTCTTGCTTTCGCAACTCTCAGAGCACATGTGATCCCCACCCATGTGTGATTTTCAAGCAATTATTTCATCCTTCTCAGCATCGCCACCTCAGGCCGGATCCTGTAGTTGCGGCTCAGCCTTTCACATGATCTGTGAAGACGAACCAGCATTGCTTTGCTGCTCTCCTCGAAGGCCCCGACCCCGGCACTCTCCCACTCCGACTAACCCACTCGTCGCCCGGGCCTCCTACGCCGAGATGGCCGGACAGGTCTGTACAACCCTTGGAAGCAGTGAAGATCGGACCAGTGGGAGGCCGATACAGCCGACTATCGATCAGCGGGGAACATACATGTGTTGCCAGGGCCTCCGTAAATGTCAAGCATGCTGACACCGATTTCTGTCAGCCTGCACAGAGATCCGGATTACGCGGATATGTGGGCTTTTTCCTGTATCTTTTTGCCCAAGACACAAGCAGGCTTTGACGAGTAGTGGGCGGAAATCGACACACTTGCGCAGCCTGTCCGGGGTCTGATCCGAAAATCAGTCACTCGGTCCTCGAAACGCGAATCGCAAATGAGGGCTTTTCGCTTTTCGTCTATCTTACCTGCAAACATGTGGCCTCTTGAGCATCCAAGGCGATGGGTGTGCTTTGTGAGCTCACTTTGAGGCCTATCTTGGGCTGAGAACTTCTCAGGTCGACCTTTGAGAACTGGGCGCCAAAAGGGCGTTGAAAGGTGTTATTTTGGTGTGCCATCTTGAATGCTTCAGGGTCGCGAGCCTTTGGTTTCCACGTCCAGTTTTGTGCAAGCCTTTAGGCTAAAAGGAGGCTGAGGTGCAGGATTTCCATGTTCAATCATCAACTTAACAGGAGTGTATTGTTCTGCCATCCGTTTAATCAAGTCATTCTAAATTAATAGCCATTTCATTTGAAGAGACTTTGAGCGGGTCTAAAAATGCTAATGAAACAATATTATCCTTCTTTACATCTTAACTTTTGAGATCGCCCTCAACTGAAGAGGTCTGTTAATTCCCGTTGCTCGGGGTCTACTCAGTCTACAAGATTTATGTGGAAACCAGAAGACCATGTGAAAGGCGAGTCTAGGCGAAACTTTAATTTCGTTAAGGAGGGCGGCTAGAAAGTGACTATGAATTTTCCCAACCGAACGCCAAACGAAGCTTGCCTCGGAGCTGTGACTACTGGACTGTGCGAATGAGACGAAGGCTCACAGTCCAATTAATCTGGAGTGCACTTACTTTGCCATGCAGAAGGCAGCGTTGGATCCTGAAAATGTCATTTATGAAAAGAATCACTGGAACCACTAAATCAACACTTAGCAAAGATCCTTAGAGCTGAATCTCATCGCTAGACAATTTCGAAGAAATACAAAATCAAAGAGGCTTACTTGCTCCTGTTTACATTTTATAGGAGTTTAGTTGAAATCCAGTTGTACAAAAACTATCCAGTAAGCTGGCTTAAAGAAGGAAGATGCACCTTGTGTTAGTAGGATTCTACTTGCGATGAGTTTCTAAAAATTATTGTATTTATACTGAAAACATTTCGCTTAAGTCGCCCTACACCACAAATCCTGGATACTTAAACTTTATTAAACGGTTTTCTCATCCAGGATGTTAACTAGTTTACTATGGAAGGAACTAGTCATTCAAGAATCATTGATAGCTTCGAAAACCACTTTCATCGAGAATCTCTGTTTGACTGTAGACAGGCTGAGAAAAAACGTTCATGCATTGTCTGTTGTCACTAAAGGGAAGAGTATCTTTGTTTGATATCAAAAAATAAAGTCCTTCAGTAAAAATCCAATTACCATTTCTCGCAATTCCAGGTTCAAGCCTAAAAATTGTTCTGCCTCGAAGCACTTGGGCCAACTTTTTTCTATTTCATTACTGCATTACGAAAGTTCTCCATAACCATACTTTAGAGATACATTATTATTTGCTAGTACTACTATGAACTATGCTGTACATATTATTTTTTAAGTCGTATTGGCTCATCTCATCTTTGAGCACTCTTCGATAGTTTTGAATTCTTTTCAAAATATTTTATAATTCTTGTTCTTTTATTCTCATTCTCCCTACAGTAACCAATGTTCCCACATTTCTTCTGCTAATGGTGGCCTCTCTCGTGGGACTCTCCGTTATCGTCAACATGGGCCTCTGTATCTCCTGTCTTGTGGGCAAGCGCAACACGGGTGAGCCAACTCTGTGTTTTACTTTCCCGCTATTTTACTTAAGAAAGGCTTGGAAAATGACACGTTAAAACCTGGCGCTAGAGCTGAGATCTTGAAGCTTGTCAAGAGGAAGACATTGCGGGCCCACTCCATAACGAATATTCTATATCGTCCTAATTCACCTTGAATATTCTTTAAACAAGTTTTCTTCATTAAGCATCGCAGTACTTTTGAAAATTGTGCGGGAATATTGCCAAGCTTGCTCCCACCAACTGCCCTGAAGACGCCTAATTTTCTACTTTCTCATTTTACTTCCCCTTAATAATTCTGCTATGCCCAAGGATATATGCTGGGCTTTCAGTCCTTACTTAATATATATGACCAGAGCAAGCGACCATTTGCTAAGAAGAGAGTTTCCTATAGATATGACTCGTTTGAATGGTATTTTACACGGCCTATGCTGACATTTGGCGAAATTAGCTGAATTATGGGCATTATCATTTTTAGTCAATAGACCGTGATACGGGACAATTAGTGACGTTCGACATGTTAGTTCAAGGAACTGCCCAAACTCAGGCTTTAGTTCTGCATGAAAGCCAGATATTACAGAAGGGGAAATTATAAGTAAAACCAAAGTTTTTTCAGTAATTAACCGATTCCTAAGCAGTATTTATTTCAGATATGATAGTAAGTTCGGTGAATGGATAAAGAAACACGTAGTGATATCCTATTTGTCGAAAATTTGGAAAGCAATTGCACAACGATTATTGAGTAAAGTTCAAAAGAGGAAGTTATATTAAGCTTGAAATTATTTTTGCTTAAATTGACAAGTATTTTGCTATTGGAAACAATAAGGGGATATATTAAACAATTTCTTAACTTTAATAAATGGGAAATTCATAGTTAGTATACAGTTAAGCTATAAATCAAATATCCGTTAGCATTTCTGAATGTTTCTCAACAACTTTGCCAAACAAATACGAAGGAAACATAGAAATAAAACGCTTTCCGTGATATATATATATAAATAAAACATGGGATTGCTTTAAGTTTGCCTTATATACTTATATTTATTTATATATTATAGTTAATACCATATATTACAGAGTAATTATTTCTATTTATATAAGACAAATTTGTAACAAAGTTCAGAATTTATTTATTTTTATCTTTAAACACAGACCACTGCTTCTCTGTCTTATTATTTATAAGTAGTTCGAAAATATTTCAAGGCGTAGACCTCCACCCTCAAAATAAATAGCAAAAGCATAAATACGGCTGCTTAAGGCTAATTGTTTAACCTCTTCTTAGAAAAGCGGCACAATCTTTTCTTTCATACACTTGTCAGACATAAAAGAATATTTTTCGTTTATAAGCAGGTTTTAGAGACTACCAGTATATTATATACTGGAGATGTATTCAGCATATTTTGTTTCAGATGAGAATGGGGTGAGGTTTGAAGTTTACCGCAGCGCTATGTTATTCGCTATATCAAATGTAACTGTGCTTCATCGATAACCCTATCACGCAACGTAATATGGGAAAATGCCTGGCTTTCCTTAAAATTCATATCTGCTCTTTAAAAAACGGCATAAATATTAGACTGTTTGCATGCCTCAAAAGTTTCAATACTATTACGTAGATTACTTACATGAATTGCCCATGAGATGAAAGAGGTGGTCAAGTGGGAATGCTGGAAAATAATTCATAAAATCAGAGTGTCTACTTTTCCCCTTGTATTGTTGTAATAAGTGAAAAGACAACCTGATTTTTTTGCCTATTATCACAATACTATAATACCTTGTGTATGAGGATAAATTTACGAAGCATTTGGACTTCAAAGTAAAATTACATCATATTCTTTTTGCCAATGTTTGTTAGTCTTGTTTACTTACCATCATTTTAAAAAATTTACCCTATTTCTGATGCAAATCTAACATTTTTGTGGTTACAATTTACAATTTCTTGTAATTTTTTTAATGCA